GCATAAATAATAAACTACAAACGGTCCTGTAAGGGCAGCGTCATATAGCCTTGAAACACCGGATTTTAGTGCTATTGCCAGGTCAATATTGAATTTGTAGGTGAATCGCTTATTGAACATTAAAAATACGGTATTAATGACATTAATACGGTATTTGTATATATTTTTGGGTATGTAATTACACATAAATATTATTAGTTGATTATTTAAATGTGTATAAGTTATTTTGTGGCGATATTTCGTAGATATAAACTGTTTAAATCATATAATTTAAAAATTAATTAATTTAAAATTCTTTTCTGTTAGGTATGTTTAATATATTTGGCAACACTACAGGGACAAGTCATGCATATTGCGCAAGCTTCTAGACACACTATTTTGCGATGTCAGGCGCAGAGACGCGTTTTTATGCACAGTAGGTTTCAATTTCTGCTTAAATGTTATGTTTATATTGGTCTTCTATATTATTTCTATGACTATGATACCAAATAAAGACCTAATGAAAACAAATTTATTTGAAAATTTTTACATACATGTTCAAATTGATCTTTCCAGCTCAGAAACTCTACTGATGTTCTTTTAATAATTTTAATTGATAGTATTACATTACTTGTATAAAACTCACAATTAGAACATTTGCGGTTTTATTATTGCTTTCACCAGTCCCATTAGTACAAGGATTAAAATTTTTAAAATGTCTTTTTTCATGTTTCCAGATTCCATTTCGTATACAAGCAACATTAAGGACGGGGTATCCCTGTGTATTAAAATTGTATGTGTAGACCAAAAGTTAAATCGACAGTTTTCCGAATATGTAGTGTTTAAAAATTTAATTTTTGGCCAAATTAAAAATAAAGGTCTAACTTAGGTCACCTTACTATTGAAAATTAATAAATTTATTATTTTCAATAAAAACCAATCATGTAAAATAACCCCATTTTATTTCATCTCAAAGGTGCCGTCTAGAATTATTTTAACCTCGATGTCAAACAAATAATAAAAAAAAAAAATGTAATACGACCTAAGTTCAACCTTTACTTGGAATTTGGTACACTCAGAATATTTAAATATTGTATATTTTTCTAAACGTGTAGATTTGAAATTTGTCACTTTCTTTGAAAAAACATGTCAAAACGAATTTGGACCAAAAATGGCGTCTAATTTAACTCTAAATAAACCCCGAAAAATCAATAATTACTTCATGTAATGTAATAAAGATGGTGCTCCGATCGATAATATTTTGACTAGTATTTGATTATTTCCGTTTATATTAAGTGTGTTTACGGGGGATATACGAGATGATAATACTGCCTCTGATACTGTTTATATGATACAATTGGAAACGACCTTTTTTCATCGGCACTCTTTTTTCTGACCTTTTGACACGCGCCTATTTGTTATATGATGTATGATTATCGGTTATTTATCAACTAAAAGTATAGGAAATTAGTACATTGTGAATGATAATATCATTTTAATGCTATTTTTGAAACTAGTTCAAAAGTTGCATTTAACGATACTCAATGTTTCATTTTACCGTCAGTTTTAGTTTGACATATCCGTCATTTTATGTTTACAAAGCTCAGTTTCTATTCGAAAGTAAGAGAAACAGTCAAAATAAAATGCGATAAACACTTTTTATCAATTTCGTTTATGTCAACTAAAAGCGACAATTGCTGAAGACGTAACAAATAAATTAGGTCGAGAAATAAAAAAATCTATACTATAAGTAACATACCATATATTATACCTGTTAAAATAAATCAAAAATAAGAGAACATATCGTTGACGTATATACTTTTCCATCTGTGTTTAGTGATTACCAATTGCAAATTACGTATGAACATGCTTCTGCGCAAAAAAAAACCATTATTTCAAGTACTTGTATCATTAAAGTCCATTAAATTGTAATTTTTATAAATTTGCTAATCTTTGCACTTTAAGTTTCATTATATGGGGTATCCAGACATTTTAATCCTCGTCCTCTTCTATTTAAAATTATCTCAGGTGCCATATATTCCGAGTAAAATTTTTCTAATTTTTCAACCATATTTAAAAAAAATGGGTTGAAAATGAATTTTTTCAACAAATAGTGGATTTTCATCTCCAGTATATACTACAAAGTAGCACAATTTTCTTTGAGCTATACCTAGCTGTCCTTGAATCTAAAAGTATATAAAATCATTATTAGAAAATCAAACATAAAAAGAATATTAATATTGTAGTATCATTTCTAGCACATTTCTTAAAAATCATGAATTATTTTAACATATTGACATTTTTCACCTGGTAAAAGTAGTTATGGTTTTCTTTTAAATGAATGTCACCATCTTCTATTTTTAAGCATGGAAATGGGTTTGAATATTAGGTAATGTGCGCCAATAATGTCAAATTATGACAATTCGCAGAAAACGTCAACTTTTTATTTAGATTTTAATGTGCAAAAGCCTACCTACTTTGGATATTGATCGTAGAAAAAATATATTCAGAATAATGAAACATTATTATTAAATAACAAGTTTTTTTATTGTCAAATTTAATACGTAATATTATTTTTTAATTGCAAATATTTGAATGTTAAAATTATAGCGTTTAATTTTTTTATTCAATGACGAACTCGAGAGTGATAGAAAAAAAATACTACCTACCTTTAATGCAGGAAGTCGATGTCAATTTATCCAAAAATAAAACTGATTAAAATGTACAATGAAACTCACTAGGACACTTGGCACAAATAAATCAATTTTCTATTAAAGAAAATAACACTTATTAAAAACAAACAGCACAATAAAACACTTCAGAAACGTGTGATGTAATATTGAAAACTAAATACCCGTAAGCTTGTTTGTAAATTTATAGACTCTTAACTCCTTCCCCCAGCCTTCATTAAGTATATTAAAAGTCGTGACGTCATATTGGCACAGATATACGGTAATGTGTTATTGACAATCAGGGAAATGTTTCTAGGAAATAACTACCTAAGATAAGATAAATGAATGTTAAATACCTACTCATAATATCTATTGTAGGGTTTTTGTACTTTAATAGGATAAATATTTATGCGGGCCTGGAAATTCCAGGAAATGACCGTCAAAATTACCCAAAAACATTAGGTTAGTACCAACATCAGATAACAGATAACTTCGGTATTTAACCAATTAATCACAATTAATATTCCTGAACATTCAAATGACAAAAACTTCCATCTTTAACCAATGAGAATATAGTTTTCATTCGATACTTCAAAATCACAATTTATTAATTAGGTAGAATAGTTAAAATACATTGCGAATTGCCACACGTCAAGCGTCCCACTCCGACTCAATGTGACGCAATTATTGTGGCAATATATTTTGAAACGACTCTATATTCGTGACTTGAAATTATAAACATCCCTCGTATTGCTACCCGTATATAAACCAAATTATTTGTTTTAGGAAATATTTATATTTAATGTGAGGCAAGATATCGTTTTTGTTGTTGCCATCTGCATAATACCTACCTACATTCTTTACTTTGGTCCAGGAAACAAAGTCAATTTTCGTTAAAAATAAAATGTAATAGGTAGGTAATACTTTATGAATAAAAGTATTGAAATAAAGTATGCTCATACTCCAAAATGAGTCCTAGAGTTAACATTTTTATAATATTATAAATGGCATATGAAACGATTGGACCGTTTTCACAATCGCGAAATATTTTTTTTTTATTTGGTAAAATCCCGGCAATTATTGAAAAATAGATTTTATGTTCAGGACTATTATTATGATCCTTCGAACTCAGTCTACTAAAAACCGGTTTATAATACAATATCCCCTAATAGCTAGTCGGTCGATATTTATAGTTACTTAAAGATTTCTGTAATAGTTTGCACTAATTCAATCTCTAGTCGGTAGGTAACAGCACCTCCTTGATTGAATCTAAATTGACATAATTTTGTTCAGAAATTCCTAGGAGACGCTGTCCTTAATGCCACTTAATTGTGGAAACGTGTTTAGCAATGTTGAACCCATCAACCTCGAGATTCAATTCATTCATTGTTTTCTAAAAAAATATAAATAACACCCCAGATAAAAAAATTCGGATGGCTACTTTTTACTTTTAAGCATGTCTACCTATATTAAGAAAATTTATTAATCTCTTTAAATATGTACATGTATTTTCAATTTTAAAATTACAGTAAAATTTAGTTTGAAAGGTTTATGTATCTAAAATGATTCGGTATGTCTTGTTTATTCATGGGGTCTGCTCCAATGCTGGGCAGATACTCATGTTAATGTTCAACATTTTTGTTTGAAAAGGCAAAAAAAATCCGTTTTGAGACAATACAATTCTGCCCTCCTAACCCAAAGAGCGATATCTAAGTTAAAGTGAGTTTCGAGAAAATACACATTTTCTAAAAGTTGTTCTCTTGTCTTTAGATACCGCTGGATTACTTTATTTTTTTTATTTTTGTTTTTGAATATTATTTTTAACTGTCTTCAAAAAAGGATGAGATTCTCAATTCATCACAATATTTTTTTTAACGTTTGTTCTGCGATCATTCTTTACTATATTGTCCGATTTCTATGATTCTTTTTTTGTTAGAAAGGAGGTACATGTTCACTGATAATTCTTTAGTACGTTGTCTGATATTTATAATTCTGTTTCGTTAGAAAAGGGGTACCAATACACATTTAGTCAAGATATGTACAATTTTTGTAGTCGGTTTTTTAAAATTACTTTTATAACTTATTGAAGTTCTTGTGTGGACATGCAACCATTTAGTTTAGTAATAATGGCATACCCCTAACCCTTTTAGTAAGTACAAGTGAAGTTGAAATATGTAAATTTATTTTGTTTTTTTTTTAATGTTCTGAGTTAAATGTTACTAATTTTCTTAGTTTATCAAATGTATTAAAAAAATAGAAAAGTCGTATTTTTTTGAGCTTAGGATGGCAAAATTGCTGTTTCATTATTTATATAGTATTTATTGTAAATCAAACATTGTTAATTCTTAGGCAATAAGTGCTAATAGTCCGCCTTTACCTCCAAGAGAGCACCTTGCAGTACTGGATGCATTGGGATGTGTAAGGTCGCAACTGCAACAAACTGAGCAAGCCGATTCAGCTCTATGCAGGTCCATAGAGTCCGCTGGTAAGTTTATTTCTTAGGTTTAGACGTGTATTATCCTATGAGTATGAAAATCACATTTTTTAAAAATTTTTATAGACTGACCATTTTTCGATATAACTGTCATATTTGAGATGTGTGCCAAAATTAAATTAGAGTTGAATCCGATGACTTTCTGAATATAATAATGTAATAATTTACTAAAACATCTGATGTGTCCATCACATGACTTTCCTGTCTAGTTATTATAGCCTTTTTCTGGTTATTTTGTACAACTTATTGCATTACCGCTGTAAATATTTAGAGAATGAACTAAATACATTTTCCACACACACCTTACTCGAAACATTTTTATATATATATATATATATACAGTGTGACAATTTAAAAACATACAATGTGCTATATCTCACAAACTAAAGATATCAAAAAATGCTTAAAACCGTTTATAGGATAGGAAGGAGGAACTAAAATGACGTAAAAGAGAACTCACAAATTTGTAGTTCAACAGAAACTTCATTAAATTTTCCTTTTGAGGCAAGGTTTCACAATTATTGATTCACCCTGTACAATTATTATTTATACCATTGGATAGCATTTTTATAGACGTTTCAATGATGTATCACAAGTAGGGGTTTGCTATTTAAACTTTTTTAGTTGGGGTAGGTGGGGCTAAGGGGTTGATGGTGTCTAGGCGGTTCATGGGGGTGAGTTCTCTTTTATGTCATTTTAGTTCCCCCTTCCTATCCTAGAAACGGTTTTAAGCATTTTTTGATATCCTCTTTCGTTTGTGAGATATAGCCCATTGTAAGTTATTAAATTGTCACACCTTACATTCATTGCTAACAAAAATACTGAAAACTTAAAATTTTACAGTTTTGCTCAAATTTTTTGTTGGAAAATTATGTATAAAACAAAAATATAGAGAATGATTATATTGATTATCTCAAACAACTTTTATTTGAACAATTTTCTTAAAAATTGCACTTTCTTGACTACGGACTATTTTAGAAAACTTATGTATGGGACAAAAATTATAAAGAATAACATTGCAAGCAACTTTTATTGGTAGAATTTTCTTTTCCAAGCGTAAATAACAGATATATTCCAAAAAGTATATTTCCAGATGTTCCGACTATCCACAGAATCTAATCAGCTCACCGCAGGATGTATTAAATCTTAATTTTAAAATTTGGTGTTTTCTCTATATCCATTAATGACTTATCAAGTATACAAACAAACACAAACATCATCGCGAAAATAGTAAAAACGTAAAATTTCGTTGAAAACTCTAGGTTGAAAAAAAATCATATTTCCTATAATTTCTATAATTTCTGTGTCTTGCTTTGAAGCTAGCCGAATTTGTTTATTGTTAGTATTCCATTCATCTAAAAATGAAGTAAAATTTATGTAACCTTTATATTCATATTCGTCACTCTGTACATTATTAACTTTCATGGGCAGTCTTGAAAGACAATCTGGTCATATATTCAATTTTCCTTTAATATGCTCAATATTGTAGTCAAAAGAGGCAATATACAATGCCTACTTTTGTAAACGATCCCTATATCGCTCAGGTATTCCTTTATTTTCTCCAAATATGGCTACTATTAGTTTTTGATCAGTCCTAATGGTAACATGTCTGCCTCTGCAGCAGTGCTCAAATTTTTTTATATCAAAAACTATAGCTGTAGCTTCCTGACATATTACTGAGTAATTTCTTTCTGCTGGCGTATAGGCCCTTGAGGCACATGCAATGGGTTTTTTCTCGATTTTCTTCATCTTTTTGAAATAAAACACTTGATATCCCTAAGTCTTAAGAATCACTATTAGTTCTTTGTTAGGATCATAATGTATTAAAACCATATCATCGGTAATTTCTTTTTTTATTCCTTGAAAAGCTGATTCACACTCATCTGTTCATTTCCATTTAAAGTTTTCTAACAACAATTTATAAATTGGATTCATTTTACCTGTTAAATTAGGAATGAACTTTGTATAATAATTAACTAGACCTACAAAAATTCTTGTTTCTATTAAATTTGGGTCGGAGATCATTGAGAATTGCTTTAATTTTTCTTTCATAATATTACAAATAACTTTTATTTAAGTATTTTTCTTCTCCAAACGTAAATAACTGATATATTCCATAAACAAATCATGATTCCTATATTTTCGTATCTACATACAGACAAGAAAGTAAAAATGACACTCCCTCCATATCATCTGGATGAGTGGTTTTTTTTATGTGATATTCATAATTATGGGAAAATGCATCTATATAGGTACCAAGTTTGGCCTTAATATATTGACCCAAACTGCCCTAACTCCAAGAGCCGAACCCCAAACCAATTTTCTCCTAATTTTTTATTATTTTTTGATTATTTAGAAAAGAGAAGAAAACATGTTTTTTTCCAGGTAGCAAATACTTCATAGATCCGAACATGTTGATGTTGAAAGCCACGTCTGCGGCGTCCTTGCACTGTCTCACGCAATGCATGAACATTCTGCAGAGGAACCAGCACGCCCAGCAAGGAAGGACAGGGTTCGTTATTGATGACGATTAATACATTCTTCTTAGGCAATGTCTTGATGTATTCCGATGTGTACTCAGTATACCTAGATGTTGCTTAAAATAATTATCCATGTAATGCAGATCCTCGTTGACGGTTAAATATGTACAGAAGTACCTAAGCGGGTTCATTTTCTGGTCTAATCTAACTTTTGGGTACTATGTTGAATTTTATCAAAATATTTCGCGTAATCGTCTTTTTGTTTGCTTAAATTGAAAAAGTACTCAGATTTAAGAAAAATTTCCCCAAGCTTTGGGGGAATTTTAAAAACCATCGAAACGTAGGGAAATTGATGATTTTCTCTCGATTCTATGTATACTATTTTGGCTCGTAGGTACCTAAATATTTTCAAGATTGTTGGCAATGTTAAAAAGTATTTAAATCCGGGGAAAATTTGACGAATGTTGATTTTAAATTACTATATTTCACTCCAGATATAATTGTATCCAGTTTTATTGGTACTTTATCCGTTGATCCAACAAAATTTCCTGAAAACTACTACAATCAGGCTGCTCTAGCGCGGTATAAAGCTACTCTACAAAAACACCGTTTTTTTCTCACAAATAATAATAATAATACTCTCCCTAATTCACCCCCTTACGAGTGAATTTCAACCCCTTACGAGTGAATTTCAACCCCTGAAGTCGACTGAACGACTTGTGTAGGCGAAGGGACGGCTATTATTATTATTATTATTTGCCGTAGCGCTCCGGGGCGACTTAAAGATGATTGATGGTGCCATTTGACTTACAGGTGAGGAAAACCCGGAAAACCTCACCCACCATCATGTTGGACTGCTTTAGAAATTTCCTATTTTGTCATTTTTATTTTGTTCGTTATTCCTAAATTTTTTCTCATATCAGTCAGTAATATTTTGTGACAACCTTTCTTAGGGGGACTAAAAAGAGATAAATTGGAAATGGTTAGGAAGGAGAAAATAGGATAGAACGATTTTCTAATATGACTAATATTTTTGAGAGGTTTCAATATTGGTCATAGACTCCCTGATATTATTAACATTATAGTTATAAACTTGTTAATAAACCAGTAAAAGAATACTGGTTCTTCCAAATATCCTTTAGGTGTTGCTGAGTACCTAGTACCAGAAAAATCTGAACCGGCAGCAGCCCAGCTAGACAGAACTGCACTTCCCTGAAATATTATATGTGGTGGTACTTAGCCACCATCAGCACTAACACAGGCATTTATGGTTATGTTTTCGCGACCTGTGTCTCGAATTCTTTGATAAAATGCTATATTTTTTGCCCCTTGACCTTTATTTTTGAAGGCTCCGTGCAAAAACCCAGATTCGTCACAATTAAAGCCTAATTCTGGATATTGATTAAAGGAATTTTCATCAACGATCTTTTTTAAGTTGTTATAGTGATCTCCTACAACAAGTCGATCGGAATCTTCAGCACTTTTGTTTTGAAGGCCTACAGGTTTCTTTAAAGATAATCTAAGGTCGTCAGTCATGAAATTCTTATACCAATCGTGGCCAGGTTTATTTCCTTAAAAGGCGTTGAAATATTGGACTTGTTCTAAAAGTCTTTTATAAAGGATAGTAATTCTTGTCCATAGGATAGCCAAACTCTGCTCTTGCTAAAATTAGTTATTCTATTTGATCTTCAGTTTCTTTTGACAAAGCATTTTTTCTACCAGATCCCAAAGTTTTCTTACATGTATTCTATGATGTATGAAGCTTCTTGGAACGCCATATTCTCAAGAAGCAGATCGATAAGATTGACGAAGATTTTTGACATCACTTATAGTAGCCTTTACATCTTTTATTGTATATGTTCTGTTGGGTCGTTTTTTTGATATATATTCTTACCATAATGCTTTATTTGACTGACTTTATCTGTAAGCAAATTTACAAAACCATTGAAATATAATTTAGGTCAAATGGGGACAATTTACAAAACCATTTAGGGCAGAAAGTGTGTCTACAATTACCTCTAACTACTGATTTTTAGGGGTTAATGCAGACACTGCTGTGCAATGTATTTTTTTTATGTTAAATTATTCTGAACAACACAACACCAAAAAAATGGCCGCTTTTAATATATGATTAAAATTACCGGAAACAAATGAAATAGTAATGCACCAACCCAATTGAGGTTTATTGGTGGGAACATATGTAATAGACATACATCGGCAAATTAGACATAGCGCTTTTAATAGTAAATAGAGGGTTGTCCGCGTAAGTACCGACACAGAACAGGTGCGTGTTAGGCACTCCAAAATATGATGATTTAGCGCAATTTACCTCTATACCAATTTGTAACCTTAAGGAGTTGCGGAAGCCTAACAAGTTTACTTAATTTTTAATATGTAGATATTATTAGTATTGTGTTCTCATTTAAATCGATTTTATTAAAAGTAATTTGTTAAAATTAACATTATCATAATGCATCGATTTAATTTTGCTCGTTTTTCTTGAACAATATTGAGTTTATTAAAAAATAAAAAGAGTAAAGAAAGTTTTAAAATTAAATTTTGCATAAAATTAAACAAAAACCGGCCAATGGATAAAAATTCTGGATAGCTATAAGGGTAGGTTACCCCAAAGTCACCCCTTAAAATATTTCAATTAATTCAGTAGAAGGTAAGCCACTCGACTCCAAATTTTCTATTTTTCCCCAGATCTGGGGAAATGTGTAGATTTGGCAACGTCACAATAGTAAGTATTTTTACATTTCCCCAGACATCAAGCAATTTTATAGCCAGAAAAGCCCCAGAAAATAGGCAACTCCGCATTGAGACACTTCGAACCAAGTGATAGATCCCTTAGATAAAAGCAACATCGGTAATTGATGGCGGCACAAACTTAGAAGGTATAAAATTGCATAAAGAGCGTGAAAACTTTAATGACGTCACGAGCACCATAAAAAAAATTCTAGGGTTTTATTAGTGAGTTTGTTTTTCATGAGTTGATATTAATAGATAAGCGATTAAATTTATTACTGAGGTTTCTACCTGTCAAAAGTCATTAAAGGAGGGAACCCGAAAATAAGCATGAACTATTTTTCATACTTTTGAGCTTTTTTTTATTGTTTTGAAAATTATAAAGTACGGTTTTTTTTAATCGCCCTGTAAGAGAACACACTTTCTGGCCGAATCAATAAATAACGAAAATTTCCGTTGAAAACTGTATTTATTTAAATTTGTAATTAATAATTTGACAACGAGAAAGGTTATTAATCAACGTATTATTCTATTCAATAGCATTGTGTTTCTATATCTTTCTCCTGTAGTCAGGATTAAAAAATTAACATATGTATATTTATGACACTTAAAGATAATACAGCCATCGTAATATATAGAATCTTGTACACCACTGCTTTTTAAATGGAAAACATGTAGTTTAAAAATACATTTTGTTCCAAAATGAATTTTATTTTCATTGTCCAATGTTGACTTTACTTAATTACTTTCCTCCATTTAAATTATTAGCAATATTTGTCATATCTTTACGTAAATGTCCCCACACCAGCACGCTACTGTTCAGAGTTAACTACACGTTTTGCATTTAAAAAAAAAAAATTGGTGTCTAAGATCCTATGTCATTTTATGTAGCTGTCCCTTAGTATGGCCCTTTTTGATAGCTGACAGTTGACAATACTCTCTTCGATGCCAATTTCTACAAATTTCTATTCCGTTTAACTTGTCCTTAGCCTTTCATTTAAATGCTTTGGTACCTTGCTGGGACAAGTGGCGCCAACGCCAATTGACAATGGTCCTTTTATTCTCTTCTACTTCCGCCCCCTCGCCTCCTCCAGATCGCTGACATATATCGAGCCGCCATCTTGATCTGCATGTGTTGCTCTTATCTGTTTAAAGGGATCTCTGGATCCAATCGCCGTGTCTCAATACGGCGTTGCCTATTTTCTGGCTACAAAATCGCTCGATGTCTGGGGAAATGTAAAAATACTTACATCTACTCCATGTATTGCGACATTGCCATATCTACAAATTTCTTCAGATCTGGGGGAAAATAGAAAATTTGGAGTCAAGTGGCTCACCTTCTACTTAATTCATCCCAAATTAAGACTCAAATATAGATTTTTTAAGTTAAACAGTTGCAGAGATACTAAATCTTTTCTATATTTATGGCCCCACTTGAGGCTTCCTTAACTCCTTAGAGGTACAACTTGGTATAGAGGTAAATTGCATTAAATCATCAGATTTTGGGGTGCCTAACACGCAACTGTTCTATGTCGGTACTTAATCGAAACACCCTGTATTTTGCAGATCTTAATTTGTTCTTGTTTACATTTACAATGATGTACCTTAATTGGGATCTTTTCTCATTCATTCGCTTCAAATGAGTCATTTAAAATAAAAGTTTCTTAAATAATGTAACTAAAAAAATTATTGACATATTTTTATAATTTTCGAGGGATATAAAATAGGATAAAAAATTCAACATAGTGTTTCAAACGCTAGGAGTATTTGGAAGGGTTTTTAAAAGATGTAATTTACATGTACTATTTAGTTTTATAATATCTGTGAATGTATACCGCCGTATATTATTTTTATATTTACTGTAAATTTATATTTGCTAAAAATTGTTAAAATTCTCCTGCTATTTATAAGGAGTATAAATTTACAAATATACAATAATTCTGTACCTATAGAAGAATCAGTATTTAAAGAGTATATAATTTATTTATTTTAACATATAGAAATCTTTTTTTATTATATATCTATATTTAATTTTTGTACAAATTTTTTTTTTTTTTTTTTTTTATTAAAGGTTGATATTTCTATAGTCTTGGTTTTTAATAAATATCGCACTTTTGCGTATTTTGAACTAAAACACCTAGGTACTTCTGTACTGTAGTATCAGAAAACAACTTTTACACGATTTGTCTTTTACATAAATATAATTTTACATTACTATGAGTTTATACATTTACTATTTTACAAAAGAAACTTTTAGGTATTTTACACCTACATATTATTTGTT